CCTTAGCCTAGCATTATTGGCAGCCCTGTTGATGTCAAACAAGCTTGAGCAGAGAGTAGGCAGGTGGCCTAAGCGGCGACATAACGGTTCCCATTGCTACTGCGCTAAACGTTTACATGCATATATATGCGCTTGGAGAAGAGACTGCGTTTAGTTCTACGCCATGTGACGCCATGCGCGAGAGAGAGGAAATGTTTGCGTCTCTCACAGACAAGCCTGAGCAGGAGGGAGTTAGCAAGTGCTTAAAGAGCGCAAACATTAGCTGTCGGAGTTGACGACATAGCGGTACGTTTACAAATATATGTACATACATATGCGCTTGGAGAAGAGACAGCGTTTAATTCTTCGTCATGTGACGCCATGCGCGAGAGAGATAGTTTTTGCGTCGCTGATCAGGACTGCCAATTCGGGTGAAAGCGTGCCATTGTTGTGTTCGATCGAATGTTCGATTTCGGTTTCGCTTTGACGGTTAACCGACAATATTTTCATGTTCGTGTAAATGTTGGGCTTCCGCGAAAAAATAGACCGTAGATTTTGACTTCCACGGCAAGATTATTCTTTTCGCGGATAAACAACGGATAATTTACGGCAAATTAGTTTATTTTAGCAATTAGTTAGCAGGGTATGAGGTGGGTTTTGTCGAAGGCTGAGGTATGCTCAGCCGCTCCAGAGTCCAGCGAAGGTCCCACTAACCCCCACCAAATAAAACACAATGATTTGTGTATTAAGTCGAACACACCCACACACACACGCGGCTATCTAAAAGGCCGGCAACTTGTCGTGCAGGGGAGAGCGGAAGGTAAAGGGCGAGAGTCGGCAGTCGGTGTCGCAGATTATCCGGCGGGTAATTGTACGGTGACGGGAGTGTTACTAGTGACAGCGAGATTAGCAGTGGTACGTGTCAGTCGTAGCGAAGAGCGTGGCAATGAGAGCAGTCGCGGTGGTTGTGACGGCGACGGCAGCCTGCAGTTCCCTTGCAGTGGTGGTGGCGGCCTCAGCGGTGACGTTGGCAGTGGCCCATATAATGATGAGGGCGGCAGCGACCTCCCGCAGTGGTGTTGTATGCAGCCCCGATTGTGGCGAAGGGTAAATGCGGCCCCTTTTTGATTACGACGGTGACAGCGGTACTGGGCGATGATGGTAGTGGCGATTACCGTACTCGTGACGGGCAGTAGTGATCGGCCTGGGGCGACGATAATGGCGGCGGCCCCAGTAATGAAGACAGTAGCAGCGGGCCCTGATGGTGACAATGGTGACAGCGACCCTGGGTGGCGATGGTTAGCGTTCGCGGTCCTCGGTGATGATGGAGGGCGGCCCACGGTTGTAGCTTCGGCCTTGGGGCGGCAGTGGTAATAGCGGCCCCGGTGATGAGAGCAGCGGTACGGGCCCTAGCGGTGATGATGATTATGGCGGCGGCCCTGGATGGCAGTGAATAGCGGGCGGTCCTCGATAGAATTGTCGGCCTTAGGGCGGCAGTAATAGTAGCGGCCCCCGGTGTTTAGAGCGGCGGTACGGGCCCTAACGTTGACGATGATTATAGCGGCGGCCCTGGATGGCACTGAATAGCGGGCGGTCCTCGATAGAATTGTCGGCCTCAGGGCGGTAGCGGTGCTGGCGGTCCAGATTTGTTGATACCTACGGACAACTGATGATTAGTACGGTCCCCCAGGGCATCGAAAGGTTGCCCAGTCCCCCCGTATGTATTCGCGGCCGCTAGGCGCTGCAGGGAGGTGGTTCCCTCCCCCCTTCAGCGCCCGCTAACCGCGCGGTATCGCAAGCAGGCAGGGGTGTTCGGAATTGGGCAAGCCCAAACGGATCTCGCCCCCTGTCTGCTTGAGACCGTAACCAAAAATGGGTCTAGCCCATAATGGTTTTGGGGTGTTGCCTGAGGGGTATTCCCCCCCTTGCAGCCCACCCCTCAACCAATCAGTCTTCCTCCGAGGAGGAAAGCTAAGAGCGCCCCAAATAGGCGCGAAGCCCAGGCTGCGCTCCGTGCTTACCTACGGACAACTGATGCTGGTTGAGTTCATGCTGGCAGCTTTAGCTCTGGTTTTGTATGAACCGTTTGAGAAGTGAATGGGCTTATTTTGTGTTATGGCTTTTGCGCAGTGAACTTCTTCCATCTGTTGGTGCGCATCAGTATCCAAGTTGCTGTTTGTGAAATCTGCATGTGCTTACCATGCCCGCTTCGCGTATGTGTATGTACGCCTGTATGTATGTACATAGGGGTGCTTTTAGTCTTGTTGGTATGTTAGTTTGTGTGTACGCCTACCAGTATGTATGTATGTATGTTCCTATATTGGTACCTATGTGCAGTTGTAAGACGTATGCTAGGGTGATGTTGAATATGTTATTGTGGCGTAGGCAAAGCTACGTTACAAGGGCACGCGATATTTTTTGAAATATGTCCGCGGCAAAATTATTCTTTTCACGGATAAACAACGGATAATTTTCGGCAAATTATCAGATAGTTTGGGTTTAGTTGGTTTCCTTAATTGGTCGTCAGAAGGTGCCCTGCTAACATCCATGGAAGTTAGCAGGGCACTCGATATTTTTTAAAATATGTCCGCGGCAAAATTATTCTTTTCACGGATAATTTACGGATAATTAACGGCAAATTATCCGACAGGAATTTTTGCTTTGAGAAAAAGTTGTCCTGCCAACTTCAGAGAGGTCATTGAAAAGGTGCTTTCTCACCGTTTTCATTTCAAGTTGAATTAAGATGTGTTGGTACTCGAAGAAAAAAGATGGGACACGAATGACGTTTTTTGGCCAGAAATAAAAACAGTGTAAAAATACCTTTCTACTGAGATCCCATAAGTCTAAATCAGAACATTTTGGCCCAGTTATTAAAGTTTTTCGTAAATCAATCTTTGAAAAAGTAAAAAAACAGCATCAAAAATCTCGTTCTTACGATTCCGTTGAAAAGATTTTTAAATATTTTTATGCAGATTTTTTAAGATTAATCTAATTTGTCATCTGAGGGGACTTTTTTCAAAAAGTTCTTTAAGAAACCATTTTTATTCATAAAAAACTTCATTTTTGGAGGTATTTTCAAATCGGTCCAGCTCACTTAAATCTTAATATTTTTACAAAATATTTTGGTGGACGTCTTAAAATATAATACATTTTGTAATCCCGGCGGAAAAACCGCAACTTTTTTTGGTGATGCAGTCTAATATAGTATATGGCTCATTCCATCTCAAATCACCCAGGCCGGCGGAAAGTGAATTTAAGTTTGCGATAAAACTTACAGGGATTGCTCAGAAATGCGAATTTTTCGAATAATGAATTTTTTTCTTTTTGAGTACGAACGCTTCTTTTTTTCTCTCTTAATAGCAATTTTTGATGAAATCGTTTATAACTGCCGCAAAAAAACAAGTATTTTAACGATTTTTTTTTTTTTATTGCAGATATTGATCTACTGAATCGAGCTAGTGAACTAAACATCAGTAATTGTTTATTAATAATTAATTATTGTTTATAAACAAAAAAAATTTTTTTTTTTTTCAAATTGCCACATCTTTTTTTCTCTCAAACTCAAACTAGTATAAACTATTTTGAGTACGAGTAGCAATATGCTAAAATTTGTCATTTTCGAGTTATGATTTTTTTTTCTGAAAATGCACTTATATGATGCTAGCAGATTTTCGTGCCAGTTGAGGGCACAAAAATTGTTGCCCATTATGACAAAATTTCCTTGCTGGAAATTTTTTGAGGTTGCCCGATCAGAGCCAAAAGTTTTTCCCAATTGGGCTCTAATTTTGGCCCAATTGGGCCCAATTAGCGATTTGCCCAATCTACCGAAGATTTCCCCAACCAGTGCTCACAATTTGCTCAAAGTGAACATGCATACGCAATTAAAACGTTTTTATCGATAAAATCACACATACACACATCAAAATTCCCTACGAAAAAATATATTTTTTAATTTTTTTTCTTGAAAAATTTTCCACATACAAATTTTTTGATTAAAAAAAAATAGTTTTAGAAAATATGCCATCTCAAAAAAAATTGGAAAAAATCACAATGGTAGCTCTGAGTATTGCGCAATATTTAAGTATAATGATTTGGGGTGCACTCTACAATAATTTGAGTTAAGAATTTTTTTTTACCCCGAAGTTGAGTAAAATGAGTACAATAATTAATTATTAATAAACAATTACTGATGTTTAGTTCACTAGATCGATTCAGTAGATCAATATCTGCAATTTAAAAAAAAAATCGGTAAAATCCTTGCTTTTTTGCGGCAGTTATAAACGATTTCATCAAAAGTTGCTATTAAGGGAGGAAAAAAGAAGCGTTCGTACTCAAAAAGAAGAAAAAAATTCATTATTCGAAAAATTCGCATTTCTGAGCAAAAAGAAAAAATACGTGTCTCCTTAAATTGTTCAAGGAACAATCCCTGTGAGTTTTATCGCAAACTTAAATTCACTTTCCGCCGGCCCGGGTGATTTGAGATGGAATGAGCCATATATATTTTTGTATGTATGTTACCGCAAAACTTTGGACCTCGTTAACCGATTTCTATAATTCGTTTTTTAGAGGAAAGGTGTTAACTGGTGGTACCATATTAATTTTGTTTAAATCCGATCATTGGATCATGAAGAAATTAACGATAATCTTAAATTTTTATATGAATTTAAGTCGGTATTGCTTTTTGCTTAAAATTTGGTAGTTATATATTTCACATATATTTTACATATCGAGGCCTTATACTCAATAATACCCTCTATTTGCACACTTTTCACAAAAATGAGCTAATCACAGCTAATCTTAAATGTCCAATCTCTGAAAACTGTTGCAAAATTAGCCTTGGTGCATATGGCTAATTTTGCAAAGGTTTTCAGAGATTGGCTGAGTTAGTTGTACTTAATCTTTGTTGCTATTTAAATTTCATTTCTAGTGCACTAGCACAAAACTGGACTGTTCTATTACATTAAATTAAATTCAGTTCAGTTAATATATTTCAAGTCATTTAAAAATCTACTATCACTTACAGTTCCTTAGAGTAAAAATTGTGCGGAATTGACGTCTTTACTCCTGCTCCATCACCAGTATCATTATCGCATGCACATGCACCACGGTGATTCATCCGTTCAGATACAATTTGTGCATC